GAACCGTCAATTTTACGAACGGGGTACCGGAGCGCCCCCGGGTCATCCCATGACATTGCCGGGCAATGTCATGGGAACCTTGCCCAATTTTCATATTGAAGATGAAAATATAAACATACATTCGATTTTTGAGTAATAGTGAATTGCCTATCAAATTTTTTAATATTTACAATATTGACCAATCATTTTGAATATATTTGTTCAGGGAGCGAATTGAATATTGATATATCCATATTCGTATTCCGTATTCGTGAACGTAAAGAATAACAAATACCATTCCTATTCACATTGGGATTCAATTTTTTCGAATACGAATCAATACAAAGGAATACAGATCACAAATCAAATCAATATTATTAGAATATCAATCTTCCAATGAAACCTGCCCCATAGTTTGCAGGTTGAAATTAAAATAACATTGGGTCATCGTTGTCACATTATATTTTCCTTGTGGAAGCAACATGTGATGATAGCAGTTTTAAAATTTTCATGTCATTAATCCTTCTTTTGAAGGCTGTGACTGGAAGAGCGTTTGGTGGAAAACCTTGCCAGCGACCCCAACTAATTGGCTATACAAACATATTTACAGGGTTAAATTTGTACAATTGTTTGACACTAGATTTAATTCCATCAAACCTAACTACTTGCGATTAAGGTGCTGTTAATGATGATGAATGACATTAAAAAAAGATGATAAAGGGCAAAAATACCACTGAAAGAAATGGGCAAATTGATCATATTCTCTTTGAAGTTAGTAAAAAACATTGTAAAAAAAGAAATGCGAGGGAAAATTGTCGAAATAGACATACAACATATGGGCAGCAATTTTTTGTTCATAAGTTTAATGTAGAAAGATAACTGAACATAGCTCCCTTTAAGGAAAAGTGTAATGATATGGAATGTAGTCCAATTACGGAGTAAAACTTAAGCAGGTAAGAAGGACAGTGATCTTGTGCATTGTCAATCTGTGTTTTTTGTCTTGTCTTTTGTCTAGGTTGAGGTGGTTTGGACATGTGAGGAGGCGGAATGCTGACGCCCCAGTGTTGAGAAGCGAGAGAGTTGTGTTGGTTGGTGGGAGTAGGGGAAGGGGTGGATCTAGAAAGAATTGGAAGGTAGTGATTAAATAGGGCATAAGACTTTTTGCCCTTAGAGAGGATATGGCCTTAGATAGGAGTGTTTGGAGACCTAGGATAAGAGTGATTGGGTAGGCGTTTTAGGCTAGGCTGTAGTTTATGTACTATTGTGTGTTTTATATGCCTTGTATGTTTGATGCTCTCTACTTGTAGTTTTTTTCTTTCGTTCTCCCCATTTTGTTCTATGCCTCTATGTATTTTGTGATTTATCTGCGGTTTCTCTACTTTATATACCTCCTGCGATCTTTTTTATCTTTGCAGCTTGAGCCGAGGGTCTCTTTGGAAACAGTCTCTCTACTTTCGAGTAGGGGAAAGGTCTGCGTACACACACCCTCCCCAGACCCTACTCTCATGGGACAAAACTGGGGTTTTTTAACTGAAAAAACTCTTCATTAAAAACACAAGGGGAATTTACCTTAGTAGTACTAAAACATAGTGACTTTCCCAATGTAGTATCATATATTTTTATTTTCCAATGTAGTATCACTGTTCAATGCCCACTCGTCATTGTTCAAATAAATGTCCAGCGCCACTGAACATTGTTCAAACTAAATGTTCACCATCATTGGACATTGTTCCCGCCACTAGACATTTTTCAAATGCTATTTAGGAAATAAAAAAGTTTAGATACTACACTAGGAAAGGACATATGTTTTAGTACTATTTAGTGCAAATTTCACTAAACACAAATCACACAAGTTCTACAACTCCAGAGGAGCAACAATAATACCTATTACATCTTGTAATTAAGATAGCTCTCAATATAGAAAAAAATCTATTCCTTACTCTGTTCTTGTGTCATCTTCTTCCCCTGGACCAGCATGTTCCTTGCTCTCCATATGTGGTAGATGAGGATTGTCCATACAGCCAGTCTCTCAGCTCTTTCCCTCCTCCGCTTCACTTGCTGCAGTTTGTTTCCTTGCTCCAACAGGTTAGAAGCTGCCATCAAGTTGCCATATCTGCCTTCAGTGTCCCTGATCATTTCCGATCCCGGTGTATTTGCAACCACAGAATAGGTGATCACTGGTCTCTCCTTCTTCTAAACAAAGGCTGCAAGTAGAGTCAATAGGTTTCCACCTTTTCAGTTTATCCTTAGTTAACAGCTTCCCATGTAAAGCCAGCCACATTGTAAACCATACCTTCTGTGGGGTTAACTTGTTACAAACCCACCTACTCCATTTCACAGTAGGCAGAGAACCTTTGAGCCTTTCATAACCCTTTTGAATGGTGTAACTTTCCCCATTACCAGGCATTTCTTTGAACCTATCTCTCACATTAATCATTTGTCTCCGGTAAAAACAAACATCAGCTTTGGGTCTATAGGGTGTGTTAGGGCTTGTTCTCTAGGGTGTTGTGGTTCGTTGTTG